TTCCGCTGGCCATGCAGCACTTCTATTCATGTGTCTCCCAGGTCTGTCACTGCTGGTGTCCGCCCTTTTGCGCTGGCAATGGGTGCTGCCGCCCTTTTCCGCTGGCCATGTAGCATTTCTATTCATTTGTCTCCCATGTGATTTCTTTCTTTTTGTCTTTCAGGCTTGGTGCCTGCACTGCTGTTTTCTGCTCTGTCCGCTGGAACAGGTTCACCTGTGGAAGGTTCTTGCTCCTTTGAAAGGGGTGCGTGACTGTCTCCGGGATTGCATTCCTGCCACACTGTGTAACTCTCTCAGCTTTGTTTTCCTTTTCGGACAAGCGTTGGATGAATGACCAGATTGGATTTCGGCGGCATACGTCAGGCACCAAAAATCAATTTTGTGTCACATCCTTCGCTCCTCATGCCTTTATTTCTTGTCCTCACGTGGTCAGCTCCGCGCTGATTGAGCAGCATGACCAGCATCATGTTCGCACTTGAAGAATAATTCACCAAAAGGTTTGCTGTTAGGGCTTCTCAATTCTTTCTTAAGATGTGTCCGCCCGCTCTGTACTGCTGTGTCCGTCTCTGCCTTGCAATCCTTTACATTTGTCTCCCAGCTCTGGGCTGCAGTGGCCGCCTTTGCCTTGCAATCCTTTGTCTCCCAGCTCTGGACGTCGCAAGCTCTAGTTTCGATTTTGAAAAACACAAGCTGTTTGGGGTCTACGGTGGTGTAATTTCCGTTGGCCATGTAGCATTTCTATTCATTTGTCTCGCAGGTCTGTCGCTACTGGTGTCCGCCCTCTTCCCTTGGCCATGTCGCCTTTCTGTTCACTGCTGGTGTCCGCCCTTTTCCGCTGGCCATGTAGCGTTTCTATTCATTTGTCTCCCAGGTCTGTCGCTGCTGTGCATCATTTCTATGCATTTGTCTGCCAGCTCTGTCACTCGTGGTGTCCGCCCTGTTTCCGTCTCCGTTGGCCATGTAGCATTTCTATTCATTTGTCTCCCAGTTCTGTCACTGCTGGTGTCCGCCCGCCCCTTTTCCGCTGGCGATTGTCTCCCAGGTCTGTCAGTCAGTGGGCCGCCGGCCAAGACTCCTTCGGGGAACCCGGGGAACATCCAGAGGGAACAGCCTCATCAGCAGGACAATCCACATCATCTGTCAGACAACCGGGGTGGTCGTGCATCAAGGCGACAGAGGCAACGCAACTTGTGGACCAGCCATTGTCGGACAGACTGGAGAGCTGCCGGTCCCTACGAGTATGAAGACGGACACAAGATCTTGGACCTTGGAAAGGATTGCCGCCGGACTCAATCGACCAGATGTTTCAATTCCGGATGGACGCATTGAAGGAAGTCCCTTTGATTGAAATGACTTTTTCGTGGAAATATTTGTCTTCCGTCAGTCTACTGTTAGAACCATGTCATGTGCCATGTTCAATTTTGTTGTTGTAGTGAGTGGGGTTTTTTCCAACATAGTCATTAGTTTGTAAGTTAGAAAAACAGCAGCAGAAACGGACTATTCTTTGGTATGCTTGATATTACAACTTTGAGTTGAGGCGCGGACGTTTATTCTTCGGAATCTTCCAGGGACGGCCAGCATGATGGTTCGGATGGACTGCTCTGAGGACATGTGGGTTGCAACTTTTCACAAGTAGTGAACTTTTGGTGTTGTTTCTATTCTACCGCCAGCTGTTCCTTTGTTTGCGACATGCTGCTCCAGCTGAGGCGGCGGCCAATACTGCCGGAAAGGGCCCTTGGGGCAGGCGTTTGCTGTCGGACGTGACGGACCAGCTCTCTCGTTCTTTGGCTGCAGGAAAGCCATGGGACCATTTTCGGGCTGCCTTGTTTAAATTTTTGGCCAGCAAGTCAAGACAGGCAACGCACCCTATGAGCCACTTGCATTGATGTTGGTGGGCAACCTTTTTTCTTTGCCATTGTTTTTGTTTCTAGTTGTTTGGATTCCTTTTTGCTTCGTTTGATTGTTCCCTGACGTTCGTGGAAGATCGACTGCTCGATGCACTTGGCCCACAACAGCGGTGCGGGAGAGGAGCCAAAGAGGAAAACCGGGTGCTACGGGTCTGGACAGGGTTCCAAGGTCAGGTTTAGACTAGTGAGTCTTGCAATATTTTTATAGTACATGTGATTTTCAATTTGTACAATATGTGCAAAACATATCTATTTACATTTTGATATTTAAAAGCATAATTTATATAAAGTATAACAGCAATGAGATCAGTAGAGTACCAATGAGATCTTGCTTGCAGCGCCTTGATGAAAATCCGTGGATGTTTGATTCAGTCATTTGACGCAGTCATTGGGAATGTGCTGCCAGGCCATCAAAGAAGCTCAGGATTGCTATTTGGCTGAGGGTTGTGATTGCAATACCGAGTGCCGTCCACAAGACAAGCCACTATTTTGCCCACTCAGTGGGAAACTACGTGACCCGACGACCTTTTGGGTGGCTTGGCAGCCGCAAAACGACACGAGTAGGAAACTGCCTGGGTGAGTGCTACTCTTGATGGAAGAACTCGCCAGAGAATCACAGGTATTCAATAGAAGGCACTAATCACAATCAGTATCCTTGATTTCCAAGATGGTTTTGCCTTCAACATCAGTTTGAGTCTGAGTGTGTACACTCAGACTGACTCACTCACCTACTCACTCACTCACGCACGCACGCACGCACTCACTCACTCACTCACATGGAAGTGGAAAAACCCGTGTTTGTAGAGGAAAACAGTTTTGGCAAGGGTGACGTTCCAATTTTGACCAAGTTTGATGAATTTGAATGCGCAATCATTTGAGGCTGGGGTCATGGATGGTCTGAACAAGGGCGGTGAAACCTGTGCATCAGTCGGTGTATCTGCCGCAACCTGCTGAGCGGTGAGACCAGAGTTGAAGGAAGATGTTTATTGAAACATGCAAATTCAATTTTGTTGGTTCGTCAACTAGAATCAACAAACGTTCTCTTGCAAACAGTTGCCATCTTCCATGCTTTTGCCCAAAGTGGCTCCTTCCCTTGACTTCGGTATGCCGATTTTGGCGGACCATGCTGTGGTTGAAAAGGAGCGGGCTGATCGGCCGATCGTGGTCCTAGTCCTTTGTGGTGTACCAACGGCCTGTTTTAAGTTGCGTAATACTCTGAGGTTCCAAAGGTCTTATTGAATGACATGGCAACAACCTTAGGGTTATGTGGTTCTCGGCATCCCCTGGGTGGAAAGAGGAGTGACGATATCACGAATATCCTTCGCACAAGTTCTCCAGTTGACAACAGATTTCCTCCACATGCACCATTTTCAACCAGCCACTGGCGGAGCACCCGTCTCTCCGACAGAATTGTAACCCGTTTGTCCGGACTACCCGTCTCGGCCCAACGGTCGCCCTGAACACCGCCGCTTGGGCTCATTACGGCGGAGTCGAAGAGGCAAATTCGTCGCCTGTTTTGGGCTCCAAGAGGCAGAACTGAGCCGACTTCCCCCGAGCTCCGGATTTGGTCAGCTCGGAGTCTGAAGAACTAAGGGGAATTGTGTCCTGTGTCCTTCCTTTTGGCGCAAGAGGAGCCCCCTTAAAGTTGAAACTGGAGCGAATCCTTGACCTCAGCTAGGCTTCATTCATTTTTTTGACTTGAAGGACTTCACGTGTTAAAAATAGCTTGATAACTGAGATCCGCTTCATCCTTCAGCGGTTCCACCTGATCGAAACCGTACTGGCCATGCTGATGCTTCGACTCCTGGCGGTGCTCGGTGCTGTTGGTTTGGCGGTGCTTCTGAAAGGATGCGGGTCTGCCGGCCCGACTTTGGGTCCAAAAAACGTGTGGGTCAAAAGACTGACTTCGGGTCCAAGTGACTTGGGCCCCAAGTCTAGGAGGAACCGAGAGGAATTGTCCCATGACAAATCCTAAGTAAGTACTTTCAACTAATGTAATGATTATAATGATTGTGGCCAATGAACTGCGTAGCCAATCCTGGACCTCAACCAGCCAGGTTTCTTTTTTATTTTGACTTGAATGACTTGATGTTTTTTCGTGCCTTCAATGCAGATCTCAGGTGCGATCGTGAGAAAATCATGTCCTGCATCACCACCAAAGCAACTGCGAGCTCATCGGTGTGTGGCGAGACGGATTACTCCAAAGTCTTCAGTGGCGACACTACTGTGGCGGCCTGTTGCCAGGTAGGGTACTGTCTCAGGAGTGCGATGCAGCTTGCGATGCAGCTTGTTGGGGGTGCTATATCAATCCTTACCAAAGAGGTTGTGTTTGCTTAGGTCGGACTCGGACACACATTGGTCCAAACTACAATTCAGTCACTTTGATTGGTCAAAGCATGCGCTGCCAGGCCATCAAAGATGTTCAAGACTGCTACTTGGACGGTTGTGATTGCGACACGGAATGCGCCGAACAGGACAAGGCAGCAGGCTGTACCTGGACTGGCAAGCTGCGTGACCCCATCAGCTTCTGGGCAGCTTGGCAGCCGCAAAGCGAAAGTAGGAAACTGCCTGGGTGAGTGCTGCTCTTCATGGAAGAAGTGAAAAAGAAAGAGACATACATCCGACATCACCCACATAATTCATGTAGACTCTTGATGAATAAACCACCCTATATGAAGAGGTATTCAATGGAAAAAGCGGGGGTGTTATTAATCAAGAGTCCACACTACCGAACCGGATCAACTAATAGAACCGGATCAAGCGCCGCTAGCTTTGGTTTTGCCAGCTTCTGTCCATGCATGAAGACGCAGATGGTGGGAAACTGCCTGGGTGAGTGCTACTGTTGATAGAATACGTCTCCAGAAGACCATGCGCATTCATAAAAGACACCGGAATCACAGTGAATTTCATATGCTGGAACTCCAAGGTGGTTTGACTTGTTAGTGTTCCCTTCAACATCAGTTTGAGTTTAGTTTTCATCTGAGGCCGGCATCATGGATGGTCTGAACAAGGGCGGTGAAACCTGTGCATCAACCGGTGTATCTGCCAGTAGATGCTACTGAAAAATGCAAATACAGTTCTGGACCTGAACATGTGTATGTACGTACACCTAGATTCCTAGATACAAGTGTTCTCAAAGATGCTATGACCTTCGCAACTGGTTGCCAACTTCCATGCTTTTGCCCAAAGTGGCTCTTTCCCCTTGACTTCGGCGGGACCAAAGGAGTCTCACATGCGGACCGCGCTGCGGTTTAAAATGCATGGCGAGCACTCTTTGGGCCGCCGTCTCTTTTCTACTTACTTTTGCCGCCGGTGCAGCCCGTTCTTTGGTTCCAAACATGCTCACCGAGCAGGAGAGACCGTGACTCATCACGCGTCGACTCGGCCGACGACGATGTGTCCAGCCTCGCGGACCCTCGCGGTGACCGCGACCCTCGCGGTGCTCGCGAACCTTCTGAAGGGATGCGCGGAGACGGAGGACGACGGTGTGGTGGCATCCCCGCGCTTTGGGATTGTTCCGTGTTTTTGGAAAATGAACCAAGAGAGGTTAAGTGAGGGGATATCCTTTTTTAGGGTCCTTCAACCTCTTTTGCCATTGCTTTTTTTGGGGATTAAGAAATGGAACTTAAAAGAGGAACCAAACACAAAGAGCCCCAGGATGGGTTGTCGGATTCTGAATCTAATCATCTGAAATCCCCTGTGCGTCCCTTGGGACTCGGTCAGACTTGATGATGTCATCTGATGGCATGTGATGGCATGTGATCGACCTCTTCTTTGAATGCAGGCAGAGCCATGTGCAACAGAGCCATGTCCACCATCTTTAGCGAGCCTGCGTTTTCCACAGAACAGAAGAGCTCGTTTGCAAACCCTACATCCAAACTGAAGAGGACTGCTTGAAAAGAGAGACTTCCTCCACACTACACTCTCCCGATCACCCTCAGCTATCTTTCGACCTCAATCAGCGGGACATGGTCATAGACGTTTGATTCTTCTCGCCTCGTTCAGACATTGCATAAACCCGGGGCTTTTCTTTTTTGTGTCAAATGGTTCCAGTTTTTGGCTTCTCTTTTTTAGATGCGGGCGCGCTTAATTGATTCAGCCGAGTCGCTCAAATTAAGGTGTGCCCGTGACAAGATCGTCTCCTGCAACGCCGAGAAGTCCGCTTTGACCACATCGGTCTGTGGCGCCACCGAGTATTCGAAGGTCTTTGCGGGTGAAACCACTGTGGCGGCGTGTTGCCAGGCGGGTGAAGGGCCGGTTGGGCAGCTTAGTCGGGCAGCTGCTGATTGGGCAGCTGTTTGACACAACAAACCATACAAGTATACCAGGACCCTCCTGTTGGGGTGTCCGATGAACTACCCCACACTACCTGTAGGCTTCCAGACAGGGCACCCCGACAGGAGGGTCCTGGTAGGTGGTGTTCTTTTCCTTCGAAAACACACTCTTCAGCAGCATCTGCACCGAACCTGTGGGTTCAGTTCCGGCGGCCGAACAGACACGTGGTTGAAAACGCACGCTTTCCGGCAGGCGCTGAAAGAAGCCCAGGCGTGCTATTTGGATGGATGCGGCTGCGAGACCCCCTGCGCTGCTGAGGACCAGGCGGAAGCTTGCCCGAGCAGCGGCAAGCTGAGCGACCCCATCAACTTCTGGGAGCCTCGGCCGCTTGCGCTTTGCGCGCCTTCCGCGCTCCGATCCCCACCCGACGCGGTGACCGGTTCGACACCCCTGGGGACCCATCAGAAGAAACCGAGAAGAAACCGAGAAGAAGACCCTGTTTTCGCCGTCATGGATCAATCAAGGTGCGCTGTTTGAGGACTTGGGGTGTATTGGAACTAGGGATTTGGACTCACAGTCAGATTCTCCAAAAAGCGGGTTGGGAGGTCTTTCCATTTTCGCTCACGAAAGCACCTACGTCTTCGGGTGGCGCGCGCGAACAGCGCGTACGTGCACCGAAAAACTCTGGGAGTCGGTCAAGACTATAAAGAATGGTCTGACTAGGGGACCTGAGTACGGGAAGTTCCTGAAACCTTCAGCCGGTCAAAATATAGTCTTTGGACTTCTGGGGTATAGTTAGGCCCTCTAAAGATTGAGATTGATTAGAGCAAGAGTGTACTGTTTTTCAATCCATGGCCTTGGTGATCACATGTGACTGATTCCACACCGTTGCACATGGAACACGAAAGAAACAGAGTTAGCAGAAACTCGTCCGACTCTTACATGAGCCTTTCGCTGCAAAGAGAGATTTCAGACATGTTGACATTCTCCCACCAACCCGACTCTCTAGGTCACCACCTGCCACGTTTGTCAGTCGTCTCCATTTCAGCCACCATAAGAGAGGGGAAGCGATCCGGGACTGGGTCTTCAAGGGGCCATCCAGCTTCATGATTGTTGGAGAGGTGTATTATATATATATATATTATATTTTTACACATACACATAGGGCCCCCTCCACATGGATGAGTTCCCATATGTGTATCATAAGTTATATGCACAGGATGTACATCCTGCAAACATCATCAGAAACAGCTCTGGTTGTTCCACTATGGTGGCAGCTGGTTTTCATCACAGTTCAGACGGGTCTCTGGACTCGGACGGAGCTTCCCTTTTTCGATCCATTGCATTCTCATGGGGATGGAGACCAGGGCCAGCCTAGGCAGGATTTGAAGGTTGAAACAGCCAGTCCTCTGGCCATCTGAGGCATACATCATGGACGGGTTGAACAAGACCGGTGAGACCTGCCAAGCGGCCGGTGTATCGCCCGCCAGATGCGAGGATTGAAGGGAAGCGTTGGATCGGAAGAAAGCACAGCAGGCTTTGGGAATCCGAACGTCGCTTGAAATGTGGGTCCATTAAGCATGAAGCAACTGCAACCTCTAAGGCTGGGTTTGATGAAGGGTGCTCACATCCGTTTGTCGGCAGCGAATTCGCTGCCAGTGACCATGTGTGCTCTTTTTTGGTGTGCTTTCTTGTTTGTGCCCTTTCGGGTGCTCTCTCTTGGAGACTCTCGGCTGCCTGTGCTCCCATATGTCCATCTCATGTACCGGTGTTCGCGGTTGGTCGGGGTAGGCAGGAACACCAACCCTCTCTCCCACCTAGCATCAATGTGTACCTTGTCAGTTTGGACAGCTTGCTGGTAACAGGAGCAGCTGCTCCCTGGTTTAAAGTTTGGTGCTGTGCCACACAGCTTTTGTTTTGGGCTTCCTTTCCTTTTGCTGGCGTCTTGGTTGGCATGCCGCTCTCTGGAGCAGGCCGACCGAGGCCACACTGGGAGGCCGTAGAGCCCTACCCAGCTTTTGCGTTGGCGAGGCCTAGGCCGAGGCCGAACTTGGGCTTGGACAGGGAGAAATACTTGCTTGAGGGCTGCGAGAAACCGTTACCAGCTGGCATCGAGCTTCCCTTGAAGCAACCAGCTCTTCGCCTGTGCAAGGGTGGTTTGCCAGGCCCTGTGAGAGGTTGCGATGACTTTGCGGCCAAGCAAGCGGTGGCCGTTCTCGCTGAAGTGAGCGCTGATGTTGTTAGGAGTGGTGCAGCCCGTAGTTTTTGGGTCAAGCCGGGCTGCCGCGCCAAATCCTGGGAGGAAGAACAGTGGCAAGCGCTCGCAAGAACTTGGGTTGGCTACTTGCAGCCACTTTTGAACTCCTCGCCGGTCTTCCAAGACTTGGGCGAGTTGGCCGAGGGTTGCTTGATTAGAGTTTTGCGGACAAAGGCAGCCGGTACCTTGCGGCGGCACCTGCCGGGTTTCAAATTATGGGTGGACTTCATCCACGGCACTGACCTGGAGACGCCGTTCGCGCGTGCAGACTTGTTGGTCAATTTCTTTGATTGCGTACAGGCGAAGCACCGTAGCGCGATCGCCCCCTGGCGTTCCCTGAAGTTCGTGGCGGCCTTGCTGGGCTGGGATCGCTTGCTGGCTACCTTAGCAAATCCTGTCGTGGTTGCTTGTTCGGGCGATGCGGCAGAGAGTAAGGAACGCAAGGAAGCTGTACCTTTGCCTTTGTATGCCGTGGCGCGAATGGAGGCTGCAGTGCTCGCTGCCTTGGCTTCGGGTCCACAGCTGGATCCACCTACACTGATGTGTGTGGTGTTCTTGGTTATGCTTTGGGGTGCGCTTCGTTTTTCTGATGCCCAGCGCGTGGCAGTGCCTGAGATGGACTTCGTGCAGGGTATTGTGCGCTGCAGATGTTGGAAGACAAAGTCCTCCAAGACTTCTATGCCTTGGGGCTGCCTTACTGTGGGTATCTATGATGATTGGACGGCAGCTGTCAAATTGCTGCGAGAAAAGCTTGGAGAGGTCGATTTCCTGATCCCTGGGCCCTTTGGGGGCCGGGCCTCGTTTACTTATACACAAGCTCAGTTGAGGCGTTTGCTCGTGTGTGTGGCCAAAGTCCCAGAGCATGCGGTTTCCATTTACACTTTGCACAGTCTAAAAGTGACTGGGCTTTGTTGGGGCTTGCAGTTAGACATCGATGGGCGCTGCCGCCGCTTGTGGGGGCATCATCGGGCGCGCGAAGCCGGTGAGGCTATGGTTCAAAAGTATGGGCGTGACGGCGTGCTGCCTGCGCTGAGGGCGCAGCTGGTGGTGGCTCGGGCAATACGTGGCGGTTGGTGCCCCTTGACCCCTCAAGCAAGAGGTGCACGCCAGCCTTGCCCTGAGGAACCTCTGGCGCCGGCGCCATCGGCACTGCGGGGGGCTCCCTTGGGTCTGGACATCTGTGCCTCGGGCACTTCGGACACAGAGTCTGAGTCGGATGAGAATGAGTCGGAGGCGGAGTCCTCGGTGAGCAGCGTGTGCGGCGAACTGTTGGAGGCGGACGACGAAGAGGACGCGGTGCCTGGCCCAGCGCAGCTTGTTGGCGGAAAGTTTCTGGTGAATTGCCGCTCTCACAAGCTTCACGCTGTGATTCTAGCCGGTGGTTCGCTACGGCGGGCGTGTGCCCCATCTCAGTCGGTGGATGAGCCACATTGGGAGGTGCGATCGGAAGACCCGTCAACTAGCATTGGAGCATTCATACCTTGTAGCCATGCTGCATGTGGTTTGCTCTTGGGTGCGGAGTGACAAAAAGTGGGGCGCTGTGTGCGCGATTTTGCGCGGCCGTGGGGTCGTGGGGATCTCGAGGGAGATCGGGATCTCGAGGGAGATCGGTGGTGGGTCACCTTCCAGGTCGGGGGTCCCCTTGCAAACGTGGGTTTGCGGTGATGACGTGGGTCATCTTGCAGACGTGGGTCTGCTGAGATCTCGTGGGAGATCTGGATCTCTGGGGAGATCCGGTGACGTGGGTCACCTTCGAGGAAGTGTCCTCTTGCAAACGTGGGTTTGCTGTGATGACGTGGGTCATCTTGCAGACGTGGGTCTGCTGTGATCTCGTGGGAGATCTGGATCTCGGGGAGATCCGGTGACGTGGTTCACCTGGAGGGCGCTCGTTAGTCGTTTCGGTGTGGGAGGTGTCTCCCTAAATTCCTTTCAGCAAGTGCGCTGGGAGTGTTTGTTTGGGCGTTGGCCTTGGTTGTTTGGTTGTCTTGCCTTCCTTTGTCTTTGCTGGCGCGATGTCCGCGATGGACTGCAAGAAGAAATTTCAGGACTTGTTGCAAAAGGTGGGGCTGTGTAGCAAAGTTCAGGAGGAGTTGGCTGCGCGGGGCTTCGCGACTGCCGCGGAGTTGCACTGGACTCTGCAGAGCGGGGCTGAGGAGACGATTGATGCTGTGCTGCAGGCGGCTGGGGTAGATAAGGGCTGTGCGCCTTCTTTGCTTCAGTGCTTGGAAGCGGGCCGCTTGCGGCGTCTCTTGGCTATGTGCACAAAAGTATGCAATGACGCTGGTGATCAGGCGCCAGTGGTTTCGGATGCAGCAGGGACGAGCTTGTTGGGTCTCTCAGTGGGCCCGCAGCTGGATGCGGCTCAGTTGGCAGAGTTGTGGAAGAAGTTTGCGGCGGACTACCCATCAGAGTGCTTGGAAGCGGATGGGCAGCCCTGCAAGCAATTGCTGCAGCAGATCGCGCTCCAAAAGCGGAATGGGGAGTTGAAGTTTATCCCTTGGAAGCAAATCTTGAGCGTTGTGCAATACGATCGTTCCCGCCAGTCCTGCTCCCACTCTAAGGAGAAGTCTCTCCTGGGCCTTTTGGCGGATGTGACAGGACATGTTGACGCTTTGGAAGCTGACGTGTCTTCCTCCCCCTTCGCTGTGCAGAAGGTTTTGTCGCTGCGCAGTGTGGCGTGGGCGTTGCTGGATTGGTGCCATTTGTCGTCGGGCAAAATGCTTGTCAACAAGTTCATGCTGCTGTATCATCGCGTTGGGTTGGCTGATGTGGGGATGCGCCCCCCAAACCTTGCAGAGGCCGAGTTTGCAGATGCGGAACTCTGCCGTCAACTGCAGGACTTGATGAGCAAGGGCAATGATTTGGACAGGGCTATTTATGAGGCAGTTGTGGTGCGAGACAGTTTGCGATTGTGGCTGCAGCCGCGCCTCAAAGCTCCAGCAGAGAAGGGAAGGCGTCCTTCCCCGTATGGTGCTGAAACTACAAGTGCTGGCAAGGGTCGTGGCCAAGGCAAGGGCAAGGGCAAAGACAAAGGGGTGAAGCGTGCCAAGGGTCTGTGTTGGAGCTTCCAAGAAGGCAAATGCACTATGCGCGACGAATGCAAGTTTAAGCATCACTGTGATCATTGCGGCTCTGCTGAACATGGGCGGCATGCGTGCGCAAAGCTTTTGCAACTGGCGAAAGAGGATTAGGGGCGTTGCCTCGCTCCCATCATGGAGCAATGCGGGAGCGAGGTAGCAGCAGACCCTGCAGGCTGCCCCCTCGCTGCCAGCTGGTAGCGCTCCACCCTGGCAGCCTGCGGCTTTCCGTCAAGATGCGGGCCAGGCTGACGTGGCGGGGGTGGCTCAGCAGCCTGAGAGTGGTTCTCCTGCAGATTATCACCGCATTTTGCTGAAAGACGGGGGTGGTCTGTCGAGCACTCTGGATTGGCAAGTGCCTCCGCCTGGAGCTTTGCGGGACCCATTGTCTGCGGTGCGCAAAGCAATTTGGTCTTCCCTGCCGAAAGATGCTTGCTGCCGGGCGGCCGCGCTGTGTGGCAAGACCTTGGAGCATCCGTTCTTCACTGACTCAGAGGTGCATTTGATGCAAGTGGCCGTTTGTTCAGCCTTGGGTATCGATTCGGCTTGGGCATTGGAGTCCTTTGAACTCACTCCGTACAAGTTCAATCTGCTGGAAAGGTTGGCTCTGCGTATGGATGATCCAGATGTTGCTCTGTGCAAAGTGCTTCGGCGCGGGGCGCCTACGGGAGTACGGGAGGCAATCCCTGCATCTGGTGTTTGGCCACCTTGTTCTGGCAAATGGGGTGACGAGGGGGCTGAGGCTTGCGATTTGTTCTGGTGCACCTCCAATCACATTTCTGCAGAACAGGAGCCGGCTAAAGTTCGCGCTTTAGTCCAGAAAGAAGTGGACCTTGGTTATTTGGTACACATTGCAGGGGGGATGTCGGCAGTACAACAGCGATTCCCGGATGGTTCCTTGGCAATTGGCAAGCTGGGGCTCGTGACGTGCCCTGGAAAAGAAGACCGGCTCATTGGCGACTCCCGTGCCAGTGGGGCGAGCCCGGCGGCCAGATTCCTTGAGCGGGCGGAGGTGCCTTCGCTTTTCTTGTTCACTGCTGCGCTGAACAGGTTCGCCGCTTGGCGAGGTGTGGCGGTGGACCCCAAAGAGTGGGTGTTGTTCAGCGTGGACATCAAGGGGGCTCACAAATCTATTCGTACGGCTGCTGAAGATGTGGGCTTTTCGGTATTCTCACTTGAAGGAGAATTCTACGCATACGTGGTCAACCACTTTGGGGCCGCGTGGTCGGCGTATTGGTGGTCGAGGCTTTCTGCTTTGCTGTTACGAACCATACACTTCCTGGTGCGCCACCGCCACCTGGGGGCGGTTTATGTGGATGATTTTCTATTCCTCCTGCCGCGGGGGGCGTTCGCGATGCTGGTGGTGCTGGTGCTGGCTATTTTGCAAATCTTGGCTGTGCCATTGTCCTGGCGTAAACTGGCATTGGGTTCCGAGTTGACCTATTTGGGGTGGCAGTTGTCCTTGCATTCTGGTTTCTGGGCGTCCTTGCCGGAAAGCAAGCAAGCGAAGGTGCTTAGGGAGCTGGCTTGGTGGAGGTTGCATCCGCGACGGGTGCCTCGGAAGAAGCTCTCTCAGCTCTTGGGGTTTCTGCTTTGGGCGACTCAAGTGCGGCTCGCATTGCGAGCTTTCCTTGCGCCTCTCTTTATCAAGCTGAACAAGCCAGGGTCACGCTTGCAGTGTCTGAGTTTGGGGCAATTAGAAGAGCTGGCCATGATCCTGGGGGACGGGCTGGTAGTCCAGTCTGCTGCTGCAAGAAGCGACATTCAAAAGGGGTGGCGTTTGCACGCTGTGGGTGGCAAGACAGTTGATTGTGTCATCAATGCGCGTCGTCTGCTGCAACAGCCCCGAACGATCACGGGCAAGATTTGGGTCCGGTTTTCGGCATGGACTCCCTGTGTGGATCTGGATCCGGTTTCGTTGTCCTCGTTGCACACTTTACAGCGGGTGTTTTGCACCAACAGCTTCTCTTGGGCCGGTGAGAGGGTGGCTGAGGACGCTGCGGCGGATGCCTGGGCCGGGTCTGCTCTCTCAGGCATAGGAGGTTGGTTTCGGGCCTTGGAGTCAAACAAACTGTTTTGGTTCCACCTGGAAATTGAGCAGGGCCAATTACCCGATCTTTGGCAGTGGCCGGAAAAGATGCAAGCAGCTATATGTGCTCTGGAGCTTTTAGCGCAGCTGGCTCTGGTTCTGGCTCGCGCAAAGGTTGATGGGACCGCTCAGTTGCATTGTGTGCGCTTGCGACAATATGGCGACAACATGCCAGTGGTCGCGGCTTGCAGTAAGGGCATGTCCACTGCGCCGCCGCTGTGCTTTGCGCTGATGGCCTTGGCTTTTGCGGCTTTGGAGCTACAAGTGGCCTTGGAGCTGTCCCATGTGGCAGGCGAGCGGAATGAAGAGGCTGACTTGCTAAGTCGTTTGAACCACCCAGAAGCGAAGCCATTGCCCTTGGCCATGAGGGCCAAGTTCCCTGAAGCAAATCGGGTGCGTATAACCTTGGCGGACGTGCTGGCCCCGTGGTACAAGTTCATGCAGCGACCAAGTTCGCTAATTGAATTCGACCGTCCTTAGTTGTCAGTTCCCGTAGTTGCGGTTGCGTAGGCTGCACAGTCACTCAATTTTTTGGGGGTTTAGTAGGCGCGCCTGTGCAGAAGGGTACCAACAGGCAAGTTTGGGGAGAAGGGAAGCCTGTTGGCAGAGTCCTGCATGGATGGCTTGTC